CAGGCTTCCAATTTTTCAGAAAGAGTCTTTCAGGATGACTCGACACGTAAAATTAAAAGAAAAAAAACGGCCATTTACCGCGAACTAACGTACCAGCGATGGTCGTGTATCTGCATGTGCAGTGGGCGTGGTTTAAACTGAAGTGGCATCACACTTACGAACCGATTACTGCATGTACTGTGTGGACTCCGCGGGTACGCGCGACAAAGTTCAACTCAGAGATCCTCGGTTTTGATGCAGATAAGTGCAGATGGCACTAATGTGAAATCCTCTATCTGAGGTTGTTTGCACTGAGCTTGGATTGTTTATCAGAATCCAGATTTTACTTTTTTTTTTCAAAATTTCAGCTAGTGTCCTTTCCTCCTTTGGTCATCAAGTATCTTTGTTGACACATACTAAGTACAGTTATTGTATTTACTTTCAACAGATGAATCTCATGTGCTCCACCAGCCGATATCTAAGTCAGACAAACCGAGGGAAGGCCACCCCCACTCCCAGTTACGGCCTCCACCCCCTCCCCCTCCATCCTCATCAGCCGGGGCTTCATCTTCCAGCCACGGAAAAGTGGGAGGGACTGACCAGGTAGACAAGCCTCCTAGTGCCAAGAGCCAACCTCCGCCTCCGAAAAAAATCATGAAGGAGTCCGTCCCTGTGGCCACGCCTCAGCCAAAGGGTCAGACAGCCCCGCCTCCTGCCCAAGCTCCTCCCCCTCATACAGCACCTCCTTCCAGTCAGCCCTACCAAGGGCCTGTGTCCTACGCAGAGACGGCCCCAACGTCGTCCTACAGCATGCCGCCACCCCCTGTTAGTCAAGGCTATCCCTCGACGGGTTACCCCCAGTCTGCCCCACCCAACACGGCAGCGAGCACTACCCAGCCAGCGTACAATCAGGCATCGTACCAGTCTGGGTGGAATTACGGAAACCAAGTGCAACCACCTGCCAATCCCGTTCCCAGCTACGGACAGACCACTTACAACATGAACCAGCCCCCTCCTGGCTACATGCAGAATGCACCCCCACAAACTGGGGTCAACCCAACACCACCACAGCTGCCACCATCACAGCAGCAACTGCCACAACAGCAGCAGCAGCAGCAGCAGCCTCCACCGCCGCTACCCCCACCAGGGCCGGTACAGCCGCAGCCCTACAGCCAGCCCTATAACCAGTACTCACAGCCTGCCCCGGTTCCCCCAGGTCCCCCGCCAAGTGGCATGCCACCTCCACCCATGAACGAACCCCCCCCCCAGNAATGTGCCCCCTCCACCGCACAATGTGTCTGTGCCTCCACCCAATATGAACAAGCCCCCGCCGCTAATGTCCAAGCCTCCCCCCTTGATGGGCCAGCCTCCGCCAGTTCAAATACCCACCAACCAGCCTCCTCCTTCGCAGCCCTTCCCGAAGTTTCCCCCGCCCCCAGCTGGCAATCAGAGCTACAACCAGCCGCCACCCAATTTTGACATGATGCGCATGCCCGGTCCATCGGGTATGGCCCCTGGCCCCTCGGGTATGCCCCCGGGCTCCTCAGGTATGCCCCCTGGCCCACAATCCGAGAGTGTGTTTTCATCTAGCATCCCTGGGGGTCTAGCCACAGTGCGTATCACCGGCCGGGATAGCAGTTGGAGTGGACAGAGGAGAGGTTCTCACAGTGGCGGTGGTACTAGGTAATCACTAAGGTGAAAGTCACCATGGTTAGAAAAATGAAACAGATTTCAGAGGCTCAATGAAACAAGACAGTATCTTGTGACAATTTCTTGTAATGGCGAAGTCACTGTACTTGTATGTTCAAGAGAGTAATCTTTTGAGGGAATTTTTCTTTTTTCCGGAGTTGTTTTGTTTTGGTTATGTTTACCTAGCTCAAAAATTACACAGTAAAAAAGACGGCAGTCACAAACTAGGGTTTGCCCGAAGTGGGGTTATATTTTCATTTAAAGATTGTAGTTATTGTGTTAACCACTTACCGCTGGTGGCAGTTATCAATGTTGATGATGCTGGGGCGGGATATTTATCATTTTTTTCTGTTTGCAAATTTCTTTAAAAATTTCTATCTTCATTTACTGGACACTTACATCCACACAAAGGACTGTCTGGTGGCCACTCTAGCCCGAGAGACAAAATCAATCGACGCCTGAGTATTTTAGCCAGGCCTGCAGCCTTGTAAAAAGAGCTCAGATTGTGCGGTGTTATGTAACTTTCTTTTGTTCACAAACCTGGTGCGCTGCTGACCTCTTTTCAATAGGGTCCAGATTAGCATGCATCGGTGCTGTGTGGCTCATCGCTGCGGTGGTGGAGTGCTTTTTTTCCCGGTGGTAATCCACTCACTCTAAATGCCCCAAACCGTGGTATACTGTTTCAAAACAAGGCTGGGTTATCTCCACTTTTGAGAGTGAAAAAATATCGGTAATACCCAGCAGCCTGGTCTTTTGTTCCAAGTACGGTCTTTTGTTACAAGGCCCAGTACCCTTTGTCCGAGTTCGGAGACCCTGGCCACCCATATAAAGCATACGTGTCCGGAACCGGGATCCCCGGCAGGAAGTAGTGAAGGGAGATTTGTCATGCATGTATTGTATGGAATTTAAAAGCCGATTCACGCTCACTTGGAACTTTAAAATTACCTCAGACCTCTGTACTGATGATGCCTCACTTGGCTTTAATACTCGGGTGCTTTCCTATAGAGCTCAGTGGACTGTAGGCCCCCACTGGCTCCACAGGAAAGCACTCATGTTATGGCCAAGTTAAAATGTATCTGTACTTAGAACATTTAAAGCATTCGTAGCTGTTTTGAAGTTTTGTACAAAATTAGACACTTACATTTCAGAGAACTAATATAGGTTTTCCTGGCCAATTTCAGAAAAAGCACAATTTAATTTGTAAAATTTGATTTAGCGTAGATTTTGAAAACGACTAAATACCTGGTTTCATTTTCGCAATAACAAGTATTTGACTTAATTTTGCATCCTTGAAATGAATGAATGTGTATTACGTTTCATTAAAGAGGTTACAAATACGTGGCTGGGATTTCGGATTGACTTTTTCCTTGCCAATTACAACAAATGTGCATTCTTATTTTCTGAAAATCTGTCTTTTTACCATAACCCTTTGGAAGTGAGTATTCATTTTCATTTGCTGCAATTTAAAATTGCAAAATAGACGTTCAATTTGATTAGAATATACATTGGCAGCACAGTCTCAGAAGACCATGCTAAGAGCGCCCTTGGAGTGTTGAGTTATGGCATCGTCTGCTATGACTCTGCAGACCAATGTGAGAGTGGCAGTCCTTGTTGCAATTGAAGCAGATGTGCGATGGGGCCACGGTGTCAGGGGTTACTGCAGCATGCTTTCTCCTTGCCCTCTTCTCTGCTGTGAGCTGGCCTCTGCTCACGTCCACCTCTCCGACATCTTTGTGGACTGTCTGGCGCCAGGCACCTCTGTTTGCAGCTTGTATCTCCCAACTGTCTTGGGAGATACTGCAGGCCTTCAGATCACGCTTGAAGGTGTCTTTCAATCGGAGTAAGGCGCCAAGTCAAAATAGAAACGGTTCCCCAAGCTGGAAATGATTGCCCTTAATCCCCTTTCAAACCATTGCCCGTTTCAACTGCAAGTGGGCAATGATTGCAAGAGAGCGTTTCCCGAAAAGGAGTTGGCTATGCAGCAACCTCTTTGATGCATACCACCATTTCCCCCACCTTGATACAAAAGCCCTGACTCCCAGCTTACCATGAATGGTTTTGTGCATCGGCGTTGTTGTGTAAATA